AAAAAAAAAAAAGAAAAAAAGAAACCTCTCATCTCTACCTGGTGGAGCAGGGTTCCATGGTGAGGAAATAGAGCCTCAAACAGAAACTTGCCTTCCAAGCCCATCTCTTAGCCCTTGCATTCCGTGGAACCAACCCCAGACCAGCCCAACGACACTCACGCATCAAGAGACTGGAGCCCTGTGAAAAAAAATAATAAATCTATTTTCTTGCCTTCCAGGGCAGCCAGTCAGTCAGAATGCCTCTCATTTAGGCCTGCAAGTCCCATCCAAGGGAAATGTGTGGAGAGGCAAGAAGGCAACACCAAAGGGACCTTTCCTTTATCAATAACCCTGTCCCCCACCCACTTCCAAAGTCCCCTCCCCAAGGTATGAAGGAAGCCCCAGCTGGGGGTCTCCAGGAAGTTGAGGCTGCCCTCTGAGGTTCCACAGAAAAGCAAGACAGGGGAGTGAAGGGGCCGGCTGGAACTTGACCCTCCAACCTCCAGAGTTTTGAGGCATAGCAAGACAGGTCCAGTAATGTCCTTCCCTCCAGAGTGCAGGTCTCAATTTATGGACTGGTACTCTGAGTACTTCTTGTGGCGCAGCAGCAGAACCAGGCCGCCCCCCAGTAGCATGAGCCCTGGGGCACCCAGGGCCACCGCCATGATGCCCAGGACTAATGGGGACAAGCCATCCACTGGAGGGAAGCCCACACCCAGGAGCGCTGACCTAGAGCAAGCAGAGAGAGAGACAGGAGTAAGATGGCTTAGGAGGAAAAGCTGGGAGGCTCAGCCTTTGTCCACGTCAACTCCCCAAGCCTCTGGCCCAGGCCCTGGCTCTCACCAGCTGAGGTAGTGTTGGTCCCAGTAGCCAGGGCCTGTGGAGGCACCAAACGTCAGATTGAAGGCACAGAAGTTATTCTGGGACCCGAAGAAGGCTCGGACAATGGGTGACTGGGGGAGAGTGTATGCCAAGGCAGGATGCAGAGGGGAAGCGTGGCAGGGCAGGGCTGATGCTCGGTCCCCCTGCTTCTGGGAGTAAGCCACTGGTCGCCACTGTGCGAAGCCTGATGGGAGGGAGCCCCATAGCAGCTGGTCCAGCTGGGAAGAAAGGCAAACAAGGGAGGGTTGGTGGCGTTTCGTGGTGGCTTTAAAATAAATAAATAAATAATAAAATAAAAATAAAAAGGGAGGGTAAAAAGGACCAACCTGTGCCCAATCCTCCCTTCCCTGCCTCTCCCAGCCTTTATCCATCACTAGCAGCAGGAGTCCTGAGTCCTAGGCAGGGCCTCAATCCCTCCTCTGTAAAAATGGGGAGTTGGGCTGGGCGTGGTGCCTCATCCCTGTAATCCCAGCACTTTGGGAGGCCAAGGCAGGCAGATCACCTGAGGTCACGGAGTTCGAGACCAGCCTGACCAACATGGAGAAACCTCATCTCTACCAAAAATACAAAATTAGCTGGGCGTGGTGGCGCACGCCTGTAATCCCAGCTACTCGGGAAGCTGAGGCAGGAGAATCACTTGAACCCAGGAGGTGGAGGTTGCAGTGAGCCAAGATCACACCATTGCACCCCAGCCTGGGCACAAGAGTGAAACTCCGTCTCAAAAAACAAACAAAAAAAACGGAGTTAGACTGGATGAGTACTGAGTTGTTTTCCAAGCCTGCAAGTCTGGGCTCAGTCCCTCCGCTTGGCCCCCAGGCCCCGTGCAGATCTCCACCTGTCAGCGTGTGAGTCATACTGCACTGCCTCTCTGTCTGTCTCCACTAAGGGCAGAGACTGGGTCAGATTCATTAGCCCAATGCCTAGCACTTAAACGAGCCAAAAAAGGTGTTGCTAAATGTCAAATGGTTGAATGACTTTTAGGTCCCAGTGGTGTCCCACCTACATTCCCCACCCATCTGCCTCTCTCCAGGAAGCCTGACCTGGAAGACAGCAGGTGCATATTCATCGTCGATGGAGTGCTGCTCCTGCATTGAGGGGCAGTCAGGGCCCTGGCCCAACGTGGCTACCTCCAGCCCAAACAGGGAACGGTTTCCCCGGGGAGAGGCGCCAACCAGGGCCACCTCTAGCTGACAGGTGTCCGCTGTGTGCAGGAGGCGAGGGGGTTGGGCTGGTCGGCTGGATCTGGAAAAGGCCTGGACCTAGGAAGGAAGACGCACGGGAGGTGTGGGAAACAGCCGGATGCTGAGGCTTAAAGGCCACCTCCATCGTTAAACCCCACCTCCATCGTTAAATCCCACCTTCGCAACAAATCAGCCTTTTTGAGTTCTTTCTGATTTCCCACCCCTTACCCTGAAGGCCAGGCTGCCGTTGGCAAAAGTCCTGGTAGGGTCGTTCATGGGGTGGCCTTGAAATGTGGCACTCAGGGTGACAGGATCCAATGAATCAGTGATGTTGTTCCAAGAGAAATCGGCCAAGGAGTATGGAGGATATGGTCTTCCTGGAGGCTCTGCTGCGGTATCGGACACGTTGGTGCTGTCAAACTCAAGCAGCTGGAGGGTGGGGGTGGGGTGGAACTGGGCTCGCCTCCATGTTTCTCCTTAGTCCCCCCTCCCACTCGCCCCGCAGCCAGGCTTTCGCATCTATTCCACCCCGCTCCAGCCTTCACTTCCACGCTCTAATTGGGATGAACTCTCCCCTCTGCACTTTTGGTTCTCCCCCACCCTCCTCACCCTGGTAAAAACAAGGGCAGAAGAAAACTGAATGCTGTCCTTGGGGAGCACCATCAGGCCTCCATCGGGCTCAGGGGATAGCAGGTGGCTCCAGTTGACGCTCAGGGTGCTGTGGGGGGTGTTGGTGGCCACCAGCACCACCGCCAGAGGCCCCAGGCTGCTCCAGACATAGTGCAGCGTGGAGTTGGTGCCCACTGCCCGGATATGAAGCAGGTTCTGCGGGGGGCCCAGCGAGTTGGGGACGACCTCCAGAGACACCTGGAACGTGGAGTAGCGGAGGACTGAGGCAACGGCATCAAGGAGAGACACAGGCAAAAGAGAACCTCGTCGGGGAGAGGGGCTTGGAAATGCTGGAGAAAAGATGGGACCTTGGGGACTAAACAAGAGGAATGCGTGCGGGAGCTAAGGGAATCCTGGGGTAAGGGGCAGTGGGTACAGGATGAAAAGGGGTAGGTGTACAACCAGGACTCCCCTGACCCTGGTGGGCAGGTCAGAGCACAAGGCTGGGAAGAAGAAAACATTCAACACTTGCCTGGACCTGGGTCACCCAGGGCTGAGTCAGGGTCCAGACTTCACCTCACATTCACCCTACTCCACAGTCGCGTCCCATGACCCAAGACCGTCTCCCACACCCGCCAGGTTGAAGAGCCCTCCTCTTGAGCAGCCGCCCTCCACTCCTAGCCCCTGGATGTCTGGTTCCAGCCACCCTGCAAGGGTAGCATTTCCTGAAACTTCTATCGCTGTAGCCCCAGGGCCCTCACCTGGCGGGTCTCCTCCCCGAGCAGGCCAAATGGGGCTGCAAACAGAAGTAGAGTCAAAAGGAGCAGGGGGCTGGGGGCACGGCGCCCCCAACCCCAGCCGCGCTCCACAGAGCCGCGCATACGGCCGCGATCCAGCCGACGGAAGCGACGCGGGAGGG